AACCGAAGAAACTCGCGAATTCTATTGACTTAGATCACGCTGAAATCGAAGGGCATCGGATCTTAGGCAGGGCAGACAATCGTTGAGAACGAGAATTTGTTAGACGAGAATTGAACCGTGCAGCAATACCTCATCGAACTGCTTCTCTGCCCTGTGTAATCGAGAGAACGGCGTCTGATTATTGTCACCGATTTATTACTCGGTTGAAGAAATGTTCTCCTGTTCGTCCCTTGTCTCGATTCGTGCGTAACAAGTAGTATAAACGTGGCATTTGGCGAACGACTCTCCGAGGAGTCGGTGATTTCAACGCACGCGTAAGAGATGCGTTCTCAGCGAGCGTTGAAATCACCTGCACAAGACACGTCTCTTATACGGGCGTTGAAATCACCTGCATAAGACGCGTCTCTTATACGAGCGTTGAAGTCACCAGCCGCTTATACTTGAAACCTTAACGGACGAAGCTTTCCTTTTGTGTTCTTTTTTGAAATGTTTATCAATCGAAGGAGGATCGATTCAACGAAAATTACGAAGAATTTAACGTCGTGGAATTTCTCTTCAGTAACATCTCGAGAACGAAGACTCTCCCTGTTGAATTTCTTTCAGAGCTTTCAACGAGAATCGAAGCCAGACAATCGAACAAAAAGGCGAGACTGTTCAAATGAATAATAACGATAATCAAAGACACTTGACGCATACCTGATACATAGTTGATTTTCGTGGATCCTGATTTTCCAAGTACAAAATATTGTTATTCGAGACTTTTACGTAGAGGTAGCTCGAAATAATTTCGGAGGGCTTTCGTTTTCGGATGATTTATGATTTGACGATTACGCGAGTCGAGAAAGGGATAGAAAGGGAGAGTTAGGAGAAAGTAAAACGAAAAGAGATAGGGAATAAAGGTTAGTAAACGTGTGCCACCGTCATATCAAGCCTATATCATCGTGTTACATTATACATACAAATATATATATTATAAAATATATATATGCTTATATGTATATATATATAGCAAATGAAAAATTAATGTTATCGTGAATTGACACAGTTGTTAACGTGGAGTGACTGCGTTTCGTGACGTGTGCGTGCGCGTAATTTGTGTGAACAAAGAAATAAAGGAACAAAAAGTCCTCCTTTCGATCGCTCGAGAATTGTTAAGGCCTGAGAGAGCAAGTTTTTCAAATCTTAAACAACAAACATCTTCTTACTGGCACTCTTTATTGTCCGAAATATTTAAATAATCACTTTCAATCAATAATAAAGCAATCACTTTAACAATTTATCATCGTATCGTCTTCATATAGAAATTTAACAAAAAATAAACCTAATACCTAAATAAAAAGGTTGTAACTGTAGGATGTAATCGCTTTTTAATGATTGATTAATTATCTCCAATTTTAAGACTGTTTAACTGATAAAACGGACAAGCGTTCGAAATGCTTCGATATCGCAACTGTCTATTTAAAAATAGCCTGTCCACCGTGGTATATTGAATATTTCATGAAAGACGAATGGATAATAGAAGGAAAGAACAGATGTGATGGACAGAATTTTTGCTGATGATTCCATTTAAAAATTACTCAACAATATTACATAGTATCAAGTTCGAAGACGAGGAATTCTATACTTTCTCCTCTTCTTCTATTTTCGAACTTGAAAAAAGGGAATCGGAAACGAGAGGAAAATGAACCCTTTATTTGGAAACGCTGGGACAAGTATTAAAATTCCATTAGATCTATAATCTATACATATTCTACTTAACTAAAAGGGTAGCCAAACTTCCAAATTGTACATTTACGACTCCTCGATAACTCGTTAGGAAATACGAATCATTAGAAATCGTAATTAACGCATTCATTATTCCGTTTGTAAAATTAGCGAAATAGAGATGTAAGCGTTCCTCTAGTCCAAATAAAGGGTCGATCTTTTGGGCCAGCAAGGAATTGTCGAACAAAAAAAAAAAGGACAAGCAAAACGACACGAGCATGGCCATCACCCTTTAAAGCTTAAAATCGTTCGTGCCGTCACTCGAGTGATCCTAAGCTGAGACTGTTACGTGGAACACGAGCGAAAATGAAAAAAGGAGAATTTGTGAGCGCGTGAACGAGGCCGTCTCGATATTATTTTTCGACTCGACTGTTTAGTATCTACGATGAAGAAGAAAAAAAAAAACGTTTTTATGTGAATATTGCGTAAGGAAAGTCGTGGCGGCGAGGATAGAACTCGCGTTGGAATCGCGGCCATATTCGACGAATTCAACAAACGTGAAATTCCTTTGCATTTCGATTATTTAACCGTGATTTCCTCGCCACTGAATCGGCTGAATAACTTTTCAGAAGGATATACAACCAGCCGCGAATTCAACGTGAAACAACGCCGCTACGACGTGGCTCCACCCGCCCCCTTTTTTTATTCTCCAATTTCTACGTGTTTAATCGTTAAGTGAAAAATAAGCGACAGAGAGAATGCTTAAGAGGGCAAAGAATGAGGGAGAGAAAAAGAGGGGAGAAATATACGACGAAGTGTAAACATACGCCGTGTTCAAGTACGATCGTCGATCAATGAAACGCAATACGATTTTCGATCGCGTGTACATACCTAAGGGAACGATTAATAATACAGTGTGAATGTACGATGAGAGGAGAGAGAGAGAGAGAGAGAGAGAGAGAAATAATGAAATATCGTGAGAAAAATGGTTAGAGGAACGAAATGAGTCGTGTTAAGCCTAGTCTTTACGACGCTTAATTAAAAATCGAGCGAACGACGATCGACGTAGATCGAGGATGCCTCGTTAAATATCATTTCGTTCGGTGTTTCTTTTCTTCCTCGTGAGAATAATAGGAATCCTCGATCGAACGGATCGTCGTGGGTCAGGAGAGAAACGACGAGGCTAGAGTTAAGTTTAACAATTAAGCTAAGGATAAGTTATTAACAAAGAAAAATCCAGAAAAAAAAAGAAAACGGTAAACAGTTTATTGAAGTACATTGTTGCAACTGCCATGCTGTGTGCCATTATATTATAACGAGTCACGTTTGTCGTAAAAAGGAAAACGCAAAAAAAAAAACGTGTAACATGTGAAATGATATATAAAAGAAAACGAAAAAAAAATTCCCTTGTGCGCGTTCCCGTCTGTCTGAACATCTTCGTTACACACCGCTTCTTTTTGAAAAATGGTGTCCAAGGCCCGTGTTCCTCGTACCGCGCGCGCGAGACGCCATTATTTCTCGCGTTCTACCTGTGTGTGCGTGACCAAAAGAGAAAAATTGTATTTTAATACCTGATTTCCGTATAACTGTATTGCAAAAACGCTTTTACACGAATTATTTACACTTAGCATGAATACGACGAATTAATGGTTGTTCGACTGATTTTCTCGGGGAATGCGAGGAAACGAGGAACACTTTCCATAGTAAATTTATCGAAAGTTTTTCACTGGGGATTCGCGTACACTTGTCCACGCGAAACAAAAGCATGTACATTATAGCGGAGATCGAGGCACCATATACTATAAATATGACGATTAAATGTATACATATAAATAGATGTTAACGCGTGTGGGCACGCGTACGATATCTCATTGCGGGCATCGAAGTCTCCGTCGCGGACGAGGAAACTATTCTCTCACACGGGCGAAAACAAGCGTTCATATGAATTTCACACGAGGATATTCGTTCCTGCACCAGGGAAAAAAACAAACGTGAAGAACACGCGAAACAAACAAACAAAAAATAGAGAAGGAAGACATTTTTTTTTAATGTGTCCGCCGTTGATGTACAATTAATATATCGCACGAGCGTCTTCTAATCGATGTAACGCATTGGATGATGATCGCGACACTACGATTGTATCCTAACGTTTAAAAACGCAGCAGTGTCATGTACGAAAGAAGCAGAAAAAAAAAAAAGAAAAAGTAATAAGATTAACGAAGCACATCGTGGGGAAAATCGTTGCAGCGTTCATTTTTGACTCTTGTAATAATTTAAGAAGAATTTACACACATTCGATGTAACCGGTAACCGCACACGAGTTGGTGAAATGTTTTTTAATATGTCGATAACGAGAGAATCCGCGGTGTACATATAATTTGTTTTCTTTATCCTTCACGAATAAATTGTGCGATTGCCGGTTAACTGTCATCGCGTTCGAACAACTTATAATACATGTAACAATATCGCTATCTCGTTTTATGTACGCGTATCACCGGTAAAAAAAAAACAAAAAACAAAATGATCAACACACACGTTTCTCTGAGAAATGGAAACGCCATTACACACACACACACACACACAACGTAAGACTAATGTGTTCATCGATCACGTTACAGAGAGACATCAATATGTGTTGCGTGAACAAAAACGAAGAAAAAAAAAATGTCGTTTATTTCATAGAGACCCGCGCAAGAACGAATTCCTACGTTCGCGAGACTACTCGATTATCACGACGTCTTGAAGAAGAACAAAAAAAAAAGAAAGAGAGAGAGAGAAAGGGAGAGAATGGAAAGTGAAAAATAGCGACAAAGAGAGTATTAATCGAATTTGTTAGTTTGACAGCCGACGATGTGAGGAATGAACGAACGAGCGAGCGAGAGAGAGCGAGAGAGAGAGAGCAAGAGAGAGAGAGAGAGAGTGTGTGAGAGAGAGACGATAAAAAAGAGAAGAGAAGTAATTAAGGTTAAACCAAAGATGACGTCGACCCATCATAGATTCAAGCACAATAAGGAACTAGTAGGGCCAGGCACAATAAAATTCGGCCGTCACGTTGTAGGCAGCGATCTGTTAGAAACGACAAGTCATATTAAGTATCTATATAGCGAGACTATTAAATAAACACATATTGTCTATTGTCACGAGAGGTGTATTTCATTGTTAAGAATGCTGATCCCCCTTTTTTTCTTCGAGACACTGGGTTGAATAAAAATATTCATTAACAAAGAATACCACGTGTTTTCTTTCTTTAACCCTCTCGTGCTTGAATTATACTTTTTTTTCAAGAATTTTGTCATTTATCTACCGATCGTCTTAATACTGAATTGAGATCAATTTTTTTTTCTAGTACTTCAATCCATCATTTGCTTCGAAGTTGCCTGACAATGATTTCTCCATATAAAAGAGCATCGTTTAGGGTAACTTCGCTTCGTTGAACCAAACCTGCAAAATCAACTTAATCGACGGTAGAGGTTTTAAATAGAAGGGTTTAAATATAATATGGATCCGGCAATTTTGCACAGCCCTGCCAGAATAACGCGGCGAAAAGCTAGGAAAGAAAAGGAGGAAACTGGTGAGTTAGTGTAATTTAAATTAGCTGAAATTTGCTCGCTAAACGATTCGTGGATTAATCGTGAAATTAAATTAGATTACATATACAGCCAGAGAACGGTTATCCCACTTGACAGCAAGTCACGAACTTCTCACTTGAGGCTCGAGCATCATACGAAGATATTCGCCTCCATGTGTCCGGATGAAATTTTGGACCATTATGACAATTATCAGACTAGAATGTACTATACCACCTTAATGCTTGGCGACGTGTCAGGTATAACGAGAAAGTAGATGTGTAAAATTGAATATAAAAATAAATGCTACACTGAAAGGTTTCACGGATCTCGCGGAAAAGTACACAAAAGCTGGAAGAGGTGGCCCGTCGAAATTAACTGAAACTCTAAACAGTTACATCGGTGCAATGGTGCAAGAGATACTTTCTCACAATGGGGACGTGTTGAAATTTTCTGGGGATGCTTTTATAGTGATGTGGAAGCTCCACGAAGGAATGATGATGAGAGACTTGGCTATAGAAGCGATGCAGACCGCTTGTATCATTCAGAAACACTTCGGGACATACAACACCGAGGTTGGAGTGACTTTAAAGGGTTCGTTTATCGAGAAAACTGCAAACATCCAGTGAACGACATTTTTTTTGCAATAAAGAAATGAAATATTAATACAGTAAAGTTAGCCATTGCTTCTGGAAGAACGTATTTCACCTCCATTGGAGATCCAGACTCCATGTCTCACTACATAATCACTGGGAAACCAGTGTGGGACGTGAAATACGCCGAACGCCTCTGTCGGTAAATATGAAAAATAATAAAAATCTCCCGTCGATAATAATTTCGACGTGCGTCACGAAAAATATTACGTTTCGTTTTTCGTCGCGAACAGTAGCACATTTGAATGGTTGGCTACAAAAATAATAGCATGTTTAGCTTTATACCTCAGCAACTGACAAGATTTGACTTTTTTTTGGACCATGTAAGTCAGATATAATCGAATCTGATTTAATCAGAATTTTGTCCTGATCTGATCATAATATACAGTATTCCCCGCTTAATTGACGCAGGCTCGATCCGCGTCGCGATGTTCTTTGTTTCGGATATTAGATGCAGTTATAATTAATTAAACAATATTTTCAGTTTGAATTTTTCGATACAAATACATTTCAATAATTGAAACTGATCACACGCCGAAACGTGTTAGTTTTCGCCGCAAAATCCAAAATGTGCTATTCTTCGTCGCGAAACAGTATAATATATCAGTTTTCCTGGCGGAAGAGCAAACGTGCTAATATTCGTAAGAAACAATGAAATGTGCTTCTTTAAGCGGCAAACTGACGCGTGCTGTTCTTCGTAACACAAATGAAACGTGCTACTTTTCGTTACACACGTGGATTTCTTAAAATGATCAGTTTTGTAAATACTTCTGTCAGAGGTGGTGATATCTTGGTAGCACCCAGTAGCTGGCAATGGGTGAATCCAAACGAATACGTCCACGAAACGCTTCCAGATGGAATCCACACTCTCATTATAACTTGCACGAGTATGTGGTACCAATCCAGGGACGATGACATAATAATCAGTACCGAAGGTACGATAAAAATGATCCAAATATAAAATAGTTTTCGTTGAAATTGTTACTAAAGCGAGAAACGCTTAACTTTATACATGTAGATGAAGATGACGAATACTGGGGGGATATTATGCATGAGCGAACGTACTATTCTAAGGTAGCAGTGGACAAAGAATCCGAAATAGCAGTGATGAACATGGCAGGTGACAGCTTCGACAGAGACACATTCAAGCAAGTCGATTACAGCTGTAAGCGAGATGAATTGCCGTAATTTGGGGAAAAGATTTGATACTTAAAAAATGTACATTTTAGTGCGACCTAAAGTGATCAAAATAGCAAGAGCTCGTTTGAAAGGGGCTCTAAGGAGTTATATGTTGAGACCGGTGATTCGATCCATAGAAATGGACGAACCTTTGGAATATTTGACTGAGATGAGACAAGTAGTGATCCTTTTTATCAACGTGATCACGTTCAACGTAGGGAAGAAAACGTTAATTGCATTGGTGAACACTGCTTATAAATTAGTGTGCAAGTAAGCCTATTTTAACAACTATTAGGTGTAGAAGTAAGTTCTTTCCGATGTTTTGGTAAAACAAGATATAAAAAGTGAAGCATTGAAATATTCGCCGTTGTTTTCTATGACTTTTCGCCACTTTTCTGGTAAGTTACGAATTCTGTCGCGATAAAACCTCGGTGACTTTGACGCAATGTATTCGTCTAGGCATTTTCGAACGACTTCAAGAGTTTTGTATTGTGTGTCTGTTAAGTGATATTGT